GGCGGGAGGGAGCGGGGCCGGTCAGGGCTGGAGGGGGCCCGGAGGCCGCCCCCAGCAGCCCCTCGGCCGCCGGGCTGCCCTGCCCGAGGCAGCAGGGAGAGCCGGGCTGGTGGTGGCACATCCCAGGAGCTCCTGGGAATGTCATGGCCTAAAAAGCTCCGAGAGCTCCAGCTCATCAGGCGGAAATGAAGAGGAGGAGCTGCTCCCCAAGGAAGCAGGTTTCAGGGACCCCCGCCAGGACTCCCCGGGTCATTTATAAGTTGGAATTAGGGAGGTAGAAGAGCGGATGAGGCACCTGCTGCAGCGCATCGGGAGCAGCATCTGTGGGGTGTTGAGGGCATGGCTTTGGGGTGCTGTGAGCAGGGACACTGCTCTGAGAGGTGCTCTCCTCAGTTAGTGAGGAAATCTACAAGAAAGGCTGTTATTTTGCCCCTGTTGGTGTTTCTGAAGGTCTGCTTCGACTATTGGAAGGATGCACACGTGTGCTTCTCTAGGTATAAACTGACAGGATCCTGCATGGTACAGTGATACAGTAGCCAGGAAAACAAACAGCATTTTTCTCCATCCACAGATTTTTCCACCCATCTACGGTGGCTGCTCAGCCTGTTGGGTCTTGCAGATGAACTTACACCTCCCATGGGGGCAAAGCCAGGGGGAACACGAGGGCACAAGCCCTGGTTTAGCTGAAGCCATTCAGGGGACTGGAGGCTTAGATAATGCATCATTAGCAATAAAACGGGGACAATTTTCAGTGCCTAACCACATCCCTGTTTCCAATCTGTAAGGGATTAGTCAAGCTCTCAAGTACTGCTGCCTCCCTGAGCAAACTCACAACTTGATGACCACGTATGACTTTGTGATTTATGGCAGCAGCGCTTCTAGCAGCTCCTGCGTGACTAACGTGTCCCATAAATACCAGCCCACAGGAGCAGCAGGGCTGGCCCTGCCCTGCCACTGGCTGGCAGGGGTGCAGTGCTTCTCATCGGGTGGGGCTTTTGGGAAACAGAATTGCCACCATTTTTCACCCTGAGTTTAGCTGTAAGGCCTCTCCATACCAAGCAGAGGTGGTGACAGACAAGCAGGGCTTTGTTATTTCAATCCTGGGTAAACCTGGAGCTGAGGGGTGGCCCTTTAGTGGGATTACAGCTTTCTCAAGCAGCCCTTCAATGTGATTACAGCTCCCTCCAGCAAACCTTACTGAGCACAGAAGAGATCTGAACAAGAACCATAATCCAGCCTTGACTCAAATGCTCTCCAAATTCCAGGGAGTCCAGACAGCAGAACCAGGCATCAGCTTGAATTTGACAGTGAACCAGCATTGGCCAGCCCCACAGCAAGGTGTAGGCACCTCATTCCCTGTTAGATGCCTGTATAGGAATGAGTAATCTAAATATGTCCTGGTTGTCTACATCACTGTAATGGGCTGTACCAAACCTACAGACAGCAGCCAAATGTGCTTCATGCAGTACACACACCAGATCTCATTCTTGACCCCTCATATTTTCTTCTCTTCCAAGTTTTAATGCTACAAACACAAATGAAGCACCATATTCACTTTACTGCCACAGATATTCCAGGCATAAAACTCCTATGTGTTTTATAGAAAAAGTATAAAGACTTCTGAGTTGTTAACTATAATGCTATAGGCAAAGCAGCAATCCATTTTTACAGTTTCCATAAGCCCAAAGTTTAATTACCAGCCCTTTGGGCTGGCTTTCTCCAGGAACAATTATAATGCAGTGAAGTAATTTCACAGGGCACTTACCAACAGCAGATTTTAAAAATGGAGCCTAGTTGTGTTCTCCAGCTGATTACAGCTCTGTGAGCATAACATGGCACTGAACATTTGCCACGAAGGAATGAAGTATTTTCCAAGCAAACATTCCTACAATACAGGCCAGACAAAGAGAAAATAGAAACCTCCTTTTCCATCCCCTCTTTGGAAGAGAGATGATAGCAGACCTGGAGATCTCCATGACTGCCACATCCATTTTCTCTTGCTCTAACTAGCCTGGAGTCTCCCGGCTCCAGCAGCGGTGAGTGGCAACAGATCACAAAAACACATCTCTTTCTCTGCAGTTCCCAAATCAGTGTGGAAATGTCATCATTGGCTGGCAAATTGGACTCTCCAGGTCAGACCTCAGGGTCAGACCTCAGATGACATTTCAACCCAGGACAGATGCAATTTGTACCAGGACATAACTTCAATTTGCATCGGTTTAGTTCACGCTGAAAACTTTTTGGGTATTTTAAGAGCCAAATAAGCTCTTCCAACAAGGGGCTCCCTGACACAAATTAATATTTTTAACCTGATTGTGCTCACCACTCTCCACACTGCTGCAGTAACACACTAAGAAACATTTTCCCAGTAAGATTGAGCCCTGAAGTGAGACAGGGAAAGACACGTATAGGGAAGGACAGTTTCCTTTCCGCTTGTGTTTCAGACCCTGTCACGAGCTCCCAAGGACTTTAACATACAATTCAAGAGGTCTGGAGAAAACCCTACAGCCAAAACTTCTTAAGTCTTATTTCCCTTTCTAATGAAAAAAAATAAAGATCTATCAGACTATGTCAATGTCAATACCATCCCACCTTTTACCAGCACACAAACCAGACTGGTTTAGGAAGAGCCACCGTGTCCACTGAGCCACAGCCCTGTGTCCTGCAGTTGCCACCCATACTACAATGGGCTTCCTTGAGAATTGATGTAAAAATGCAAATATATTCTGAGGAAGCAGTGTTTCCACTGTAAAATGAATTACTGTCATGCTGAAGTGAGAAAACAATTTAAAAAGATGGCATTATTCTGTCTCCCCAGCTTCCACTCCCCTTAGCTGCCTGGTATCTGGGATTAAGTCACCATTCTCAGTTCTGGGACCAAAACAACCTTCAGTTTGTAAGAATTTCTTAGAGCAAAACCAAAATTCACTTAAAGCAAGTAAAAGCCCCACTGCATTGGAAACCTGCTTTTTAAACCATCAAACCCAATGGTTTTCAATGTCTTTTGATTTGTGGATCTTTATACAATGTCCAGTGGAGAGGCAGACTCCTGTGTAGCACATTTAAGGCTGTGACCCTCGCTTCCTCTGAGTTTTCTTTCACAGGGACCTTGAGGGTAACTTCCTGACCCCTGGGCTAAGGCCATGGTTTGAAACCACAGCTATTTTACTTTGAAAGATCCCAGTTTTGCTTCTCAAATCCCAGTGAAAGAGGGGACACATCCTCACAGGGTTCCCAGCAGATTTTGCTCCTCTCCTTGGGGGATGCTGCAGAGCTGCCTATGGCACCAGTGGGGCTGGGCTGAAGAAGAAAGTCCCAATGCAATGAGAGGGCATGGGATGCAGGGCTACAGAAATCAGTTCGATCTTTGCCATGGATCCCAGCAGGCTGCAAAGTCCCCAGCCAGACACGCAGACACTGCTTCCTCCTTCCTGAGAGTCCCCAGGGCTGTCAGCAGCCAAAACTGGGGGAGGAGAGATGTTCCCACAGGCTCAGGGGCTCCTCACTCTGCCACGGCTAAACACGCTTGTCTGTGCATCCCAAGTGGGACTGGTGGCAAACAGAGCAGGGTGGGGAGAGCAGCCTGTGTTTCCAGGACACTTCTCATTGCAGTGATGTGTTTGCTTTGAAACTGAGCCTCAAAGCATCTCAGCTTTTAAGGTCCCCACCCCGTGTTTTTGTGTTTCAGCTTTTGAGATTTTTCCTTAAGATAAGTTCAGCATTCAGAAAATAAAATCTGAACCAAGAGAAAGCTCAGCACCCAATACAAACATTTCCTTTTTTCTTATTTTTTTTAAAAAAAGCATTTTAACTGACATTTTTGGGTCCTTTTTCCTCTCCTCCCTGAGACTATCTAAGACTATTTTCCATACACA